TACTTGCATTTGCATGCTTTCGAACCGCTAGGTTGGCAGGAGCTGGGACAAGCGACGGGTGCTCACTCCGTCGCATGGATTCGATCTTACGACTGCTTGGTCTTCTGACCCTGCAGCACAGGCTTCTGCGGTTTAGCCCGCAGCGCCACCACATCCCTTAGGGGTAGATACAAAAGCTAAATAATGTCCATGAGACCCCTGTTTGGGGCATGGAAAGAGTTTCATCAGGGAGGGTCGGCAGCCTCTGGCCCTCCAGATGTTGGGGAAATTAGGGTGGACAAATTTTGACCTTCCAGCTTTCATCCTTCCCCAAGCAATATAGCCAGGGGTTGGGGAGGGTGAACCGTATGTTCGTCATTCCCATGATTTAACCGTCCTTTCTTATAATCTGAATCCTCGCTTCTTCTTTTCTTCCATGCTCAGAAAGGAGCCATAGATGCTTTGTCTGTGGAGAAGGCCCCGGGGGATTCAATTTTCAATCCACAGGTGGTAGGAAAACGTCTTTCTGCCTGAAACCATACCGAGTGGTGGACAATGTCTAGCCTTCAAGTGCTCTCCAAGGCTGTTTTTAATAGCTTACACCTCCCCCTGTCCCCCCCGAAAGCTGTACACTGCAGCTGCTGGAAGTCTCCAGAAGTGGCAAAAGGGAGTCACTGCTCCCTTTTGCCAATTTACTCCAAATTTTAAAACCCCTGAAGAGGATTTCTAGCAACCTCTATTTTCTTCTCCCCCACTTTTTTTCTTTTGCATGTTTATTTTTTTTAGGGTCGTCTGTGGAGGTCCCAGAGGGTTTCGGGGGGCAAAGCGGTGTCCTCAGATTTGCCAAGATTTCCCGCCCTGCCACAGAGTCTAAAACAGGGCATAGAGACCACCGTTGAGACCCTATGTTTTCCATTGTTTAGCTCTTTAATTTCATTACCCAAACCCCGATGATCCACCCTATGGTGTGTAAACACCTCTCAAGGTGGATAACAACGATTCGAAGCAGCCGTAACATCAATTGCCAGTCAGAAAACAGAGAGGAGAATGAGGAGGAGTTCAGTAAGAGCCGTGCTTCAGAATATGAATAGCCTTGCTGTACAGTGCTATGGCGCAGCGGATGCTGCTTGGGGCCTCAGCATCGAATCTCACGCTTGAAGTGCAGCCACAGAAAAGGCCTTTCCTCTTGTTCTTTCCATTTGCACCCGGGACATAGTGGAGGGCCTCTTTCAGACAAGGCTATAGGTGGGCTGCGCTTGGTGGGGACACGGGAGAAGGCCTTCTCTGTGGCTTCTCCCAGACTTTGGAACTCCCCCCCACTGGAAGCCAGCCTGGCCCCATCTCTGCTGTCCTTCTGCAAGCAGGCAAAGCCCTTTCCTTTCAGGCAAGCTTTCCCTCCATGACTGGCTGTCTAAGAGGAAGATCTTTGAATGGGATTGTTGCATTCCTATTGTTGTTGTTGTTGTGAATGTATTTTAGTACTGTTTTTATCTACTAATTTTATATAGGCTTCATTCTTTTTTAAATATTGTAATAAAGTATCAATCTTAGTTTTCAATATTATTTATTTTTCAATACAGTAGGACCCCTGTGTTCACATGAGATCAGTTCCAAGCTCCACCCCCCTCGCCCCTGCCCCAGCGGAAGCTGCAAAACACAGATTACAATATAGTGAACATTGCACACAGCATGGTCTCTGGCTTCCTCTAGTGGCCAGTTCTGGTAACTTCACCTTTAGAAATGCGTATGTCTTGGATTTTCTTTTAATACTTTAAGTATTTGCCAGACAGTGGATAAGTGAATCAGCAGATACCAATCCCATGGATACGGGGTGGGTGGGTCCTACTTTAATGTAAGCCACCTTGCGTCCTTTTAACAAGAAAGGTGGAATATCAGTATTTTGGATAAATAAATAGATTTTAGATAAAACAAGTGTTTCTTAAAGTATCTTGGTGTTACATACAGCACTGATGGTACCTGTCTGTCATGAGTTTGGAGGGAAAGTTCCATCCTATGGGGAGTGGAAGGCGGGACATCAGGGGGAGGAGCTGTACTGTATATATATTTGGGAGCTTGTGTGGAGAGTGAGGAGTTGGAGTCTGTGTGTCAGACTGAGTACAACTGTGTGTCAGTTAGTACCTACCTGATAGGTTCAGGTTTCTTTATAGGTAGCCAGAACTGATAGGTTCAGGGTCTGTGCTTTACTTTAAAGTGTTCTGTGTTCTGTGTTTAGTAAAATGGTCCTCTTGTGGAGGTCAAGCGCTGCTTACTAGTGAGGACAGATTCGCAGTTGTTTGAGACCGCAGGGGTGGACGTAGGAATACTTGACCATCAGTATAGGGGGCTAAGGGATACTTGTTCCCAGGTGACCCTGTGCCATCCAGACATTATTCCTGGGAAGTATATAATCCCAAATGAGAGCCTCAAGGTGGCAGGGATTGAGGGGCAGGTGATCTCACTGCCAGTAGCTGAGGTACCTGTGAGCTTTCAAGGCTGGAGGGGAGTTTGGCGGCTAGCGATTTCATCGACTCTGCCAGCAGCCGTGCTCGTGGGAAATGACCTGGCTGAACATGTGAAACGGGTGCTAGTGATTACACGCTCACAAGCTACCACGGGGACAGTTCA